CCCAAATCTTACAAGATGGAAAAACAATTGGATAGTCGAGTGAGGTCCGTCTAACTCTGTCCACAGAGCACCAGCCCAGTTAAACCACAACAATGTTTTAATGTTTTTTTTCACCTCAGAAAAAAGAAAACCCCTCTTAAAAGGAATATCAGTTTCCTTTGCAGAGGCTGGGAGACCTGAGAAAATGGCTGTCAGGATGACTGAAATGTGCTCCTGACTGTGTGCTCCCAGTGCATGAGGTGAGTTAATTCACTGGGACAAGGATGACTCAGAACAGCTGTTTTGTAAATGTGGTCATTGGATACTTTTTCAGCATTTTGCGGGGGAGGGGTGGTAAGGTGTTCCTTTTATTGTTTTCCTGAAGTTCTTTGTAAAACTATTTCTGCAAACCTTAGGTGTTCTCCAAACAATTTGGATGAACCGCTCTTAATTGGGTATCATTTAGAAATAACAGAGGCAACAATTCTTCACTTTTGCAAAGATTATGTTCTTACTGGATTGACTCCAGAAAGTTGATTTAGGACTTGAACTTTTTTTTTTTAAAACAGATGGCTACTGCCCCATGGCATGTCTCAAACTGTTTTAAAAACATCTCTTTGTTTCAAGCAATTTGATGTGAGGTACTGTTTTTGTTTGTTCAACCTAGAACAAACAGCTTAAAACTTGGTTAAGTCATAGAGCTAGTTGTGTAGATATTTGGTAGTCTTGCACAATTTTGTTGACTACTGTGCATCGCTTATCATTAGTTATTTGTGCCATACCATGTATGATACAGTTAAATCAGGAACATATTTTTAAAAGGTACCTTTAATTAATTGGCCAACCTTATTTTTAGGGAACAAAACTGCAAGGTGGAAAAGAACTCATTAGAAGAGGACTTCTTATAAAAAAGAGAAGAGGAAACGATTCTTGGAAAATTACCCCTACCACATCTAAAGCTTTTTCCATAAAAACATTCATCTTATATACTTGAGATGAGCAAATTCTCTGTTGCAGTGTTGGCCATCCAGCACCGTAAGGGGCCTTGATGTTAACACTGGTGGAGATAGAGAATAAAATTTTCACCTTTTTTGGCCAGCCGAGGGAGAGGTGGAAGGGAATTGTGTGCTTTCTTTCTTAGATTGCAAAATTGTGCATTAAACTTCACAGAGGCTTAATGTGCCTATTTTATGTTCCATTATCCCAAAATAGGAAAAACATTGACATTTTGTAATTTGCTACCAAATTTAGACACACTGTGAGGCCACAGAGGATCTGGGAGCAGTTCATGGGCTGCAGACTGTCATATGCAAATAGATACAGATTTAACTACTAATCGGCTGGGATTAATGACTGTGTGGTAAATTTAGTAATTAGTACTACTGTACTGATTATTAACTTGTCTGTAGATCTGGTTCACTGATCACAGTTGAGCATATTGCTGACACTTTCCAAAGGGTTTTTTTTTCTGTTTTTTCAGGCCATCTCCCTTCTGACAGGCTTTGTCACCAGACTTCCTTCCTTTTTCACATATGATGAAACCATCAGGGACAGTCATAAGATACTGCTTTCAGATATCAACATTTTGCACGCAACTGGTGCATTGTGATATCATTTTTTAAATATTCTGATGCTTTGCTAGCATGAGTAAGAAGATGAATAGTAGGCAGTGGCTGAAGCCTAAGCCACTACATTTTATTTACAGTATAGTTAAAGATATAGTTACCTATCTTAATGGTAATGCAGGTAATACATGCCGGGTAATAATAGAAATACCTGAAAAGAAATCTTGTAATGGGATGTTAAATGTGTATCCTTCAGCTAGTTTTTAGGCTGTTTATCTGAACTCTATGCCAATGAACATTTCTACGGTTTTGACAAGAAATTACCAAATAAAGTTTGTTTTTTTAAGGTAGTTTTTAAAAAGGAGCAAGAGTAAGATGCTGATTTCATGACCATATAGTTGAGGCAAGCTCAGCATTGGCCTTAGGAAGTTACATCTCACTGTTACTAAGCCTAATGTAACTTAGCTTTTAGGTCTCTTTCTGCTGTTTTTTAAAGAAAGAATACAGTTGTGTGAAAAAGAAAGTACACCCTCTTTGAGTTCTATGGTTTTATGTATCAG